GAAGAATTTTTTAACGTTTTGTAAGATTTGTTAAATTAAATAGCCAGTAACTCTGCTGACCATAATGTGTAAGACATTTTCGATTTGTTTTCGAGCAAATAATATTCCCTAAAGTTTCGCGCGATTTAGATAAAGACGCACAGATCGAAATTTTGTTGGAAGGTATTTTCTCTCATTTGCTAATCGGAAATTGTTTTGTAGTGATTTGATTATTTGCAAACATAATTTTTTTTAAATTCTAGTTTATCTGCAAAAAATTAATTCTGGGAAGAAAAAAATAGTGTTTCGGACTACAGAAGGCTGACACGTAGAGGAACCACAATTTGTTTTAAGAAATCTCAATTAATTAAGAATTTGCTTTAAGGTCTTTTTTAATTTCCCGGAAATTATCTTTACTGCGATGCAAAAATCAATACACCTGCAGTGAGTGTGATTTGCAACTGCTCCATCTACATATAAACTTTGTCAAATACATATTTAAATTAAAGCTGGAATTTAAAAGAATAAATAAGAAGAATACAAATTGAATCAAAATTATGAGTTCCATTTTTTCACATTTCTTAAATTTCGCAATATGCCTTTTCCAATAACGTTTTTGTTTCACTCCTAATTTTTTATTAAACATTTTTATTAATATATTTTTTTGAAAATATAGGGAAAACTAGGGATTTTTTAAGTGACCATCTACGAATTTTAATTTTACCGATCTTAAATCACTGGCAACGTGTGGTTCTACAATAGATGGTAAATGATTGAAGTGTCCGATATTTTACAGGGCTTTTCAGGAAGTTCAAAAAATAACTTAAATTTTTGCTTTTTCCAAATAACTTTTTATATATCTGACCGATTTAATATTTCTAAATAAAAAATAAAAATAARTACATCTATATGGACTTTTTACCTTAAAAATGTGAAGAATCGCCCTGTACAATATCGAATCGAATTAGTATTAGTTATTAATCTTGCCCAAAGCCAAAAATGAAAATATATTACTATTATCCTTGTGTATTTTAGAAAATGTTCGTCCTTATAGACAAAGACAAAATATTAAAACTTATAGACAAAGGTTGCAGCAACGGCAAAACATTAAAATACGGAAAAATTGCCAAATTGAATGGAGAATTGAAATATTTCTGGCAAACCACTCACATTTCTGAATGGTAAAAGTTTGCCTGATTTCCGAAAAAAAACCTGTACGGTTTAAAATCGACTACACTATGTGAGTTATCCTAAGTAAGATCAGGTAAAAATATGCATAAAGTTTCATAAAAATCATAGAAGTTGTGTGGGAAAAACGAAGCATAAACACAAAATAAGATGCTCCATCAATGCGACATTCGTATAAACACTAGTAGAAACTTCTCGACGTGTCTATCGGTGGTTGAATAAGCCAATGATTAATAGATTATTGAAAGTTTTATAGCATAATTCAAGAAAGTCAAAGAGAAAGTAATAATATACTACCATTTCTCTTTAACTTGGCCCACGATATGTTAATACAGACTTTTTAAACCTTCATCTAGTTAAAATTGTCCTTTATTCACTTCAATCAGTTTTAAAGACATTGCCAGAATTTTCCACTATATTACTTAAACATCTCCTTTCACCCCATACACTGCACATGTGGAACAAGTATTGAAGTTTTAAAACAGGAATTTATGTGGACAGTTCAATATCTCAATTTTGTATATATGCGTGCTTATTAAAATGAAACGAGATCAAGGCAAGTTTACCATATACGAACTGTGGCCAGCAGGAAAAAATTACGACTACCCTGAAAATTCCATAAATTTGAACGTTCATCTGATATTCGTGTGAGGATGGATCCGAAAGTGTTCTTCATTCACTTCAAATTCGAGGGCTTAAAAAATACCTGTTTTGTGGTCGATACCTTCATTTACGATTAAATTAGGTTTTTGATAATCGCAACATTTAATTTTGTGTTTATTTTGAATTTTTTAATCGCTGATTTGTCGGTCACATAAAAACAATAAGTTCATGTTAGTTAAACAAAGTGTTGAAAGATGAGAGAATACGGCATTTATCCAAGAATCAACAAACAGAAATAGTGGAATTGCTCATTAAGCTCATCTAACCATTGGTAAGATATGGAAACTCGCCTAATACGCGATCGGCAGTTAAAAAGATAGGAAATGAGCAATTAAGGCACAATAAAAAAAAGCAATTAACTCACAGTTCCGGAATAAATACGATTATACGATTTGCTACTTTGTCGAGAAAATCGTCACAAATCAACCCAATAAGTAGCTGGAGAACAATCAATGGATCAATCGTTCATCAAAACGTTATGATCTAAAATATTTACAAAAGAACAACGTGTTTCTTACACGGTACATTTTGGTTCAGGAACGTATTTAAGATGATCTCGGTCACAAATTAAAATTTTACGAAGATCACAGTTATTTTGAATGACATTTCATTTTGAAAAAAATAAATGTGTCCCAACTAAAGATGCAAGGCACATCTAGTCTCAAATTCTTTAGTGTTCTTTAATAATAGAGACCACACTAAATGGTTATCTTTGATAGCGGGTGAATTTCATCAATTACTTAAAACAAATGTTTGTATTCCAATCAATTGAACGGTTCTAAAGTTTTGTTTCATTACGCGAACCAGTTAAGTACCATATCTAAATTAAAATAAACCCACTGACCGACGAGCCAACCATGGCGCTTCCTTAAATGGTCACCCGTCGAGTACCTTGAGTGGGTTCCACACCTGTTACGTCACGATGTGTAACTGCTAAAACACGTTTGTCGAAATTCTGAATTTCTGCTGCAATAGCCATAAGTGGACACAAGCTTCAATACGTTCAGTTTTTCAATAAGGAAATACTACCAACGTTTTTCCATGGTGAACTTTCAATATTGGAATTATGTATCTACTCACAAAACATTTCTCAAAACTTGCTGGCGCATGCATACGATATTTGAAGCATCATGCAACATAATTAGATGCATGGCATTAAAAATGTCTCATTTACCGCTAGGGTAAACTATTAACTTTATGCAAGAAATTATAAAGTATATAAACAAGCGAAAATATTTAATTTTTGAATCCAAATTATTGGCTAACCATTTGTTACTCTGATCAGGCATGTAGACTATTTATAACTTCAAAATATATAATCTTAAGTCCGTTGTAAATTATAAATTTTATACGTTCAGTAAATAATAAAAATAAGTGAAACGAGCGTCTGGAAATGCCCAGTAACGTTCAGTGCCAGAAGCTCCAATTTTCATCAATACTAGTCTAAATGTTAGAAAACATTCTGACAATTTTGCACAGCTGACCTTTAAATCAAGCAGAATCCAGAAAATTCACTTAACTCGAGTAAACAAAGAGATACAGAGGGATTCAGTCAGAATGAGCAATATTCAAACTGGAAATACTACATATGGAAGTAGATATTGGGGTTTCAAATCGTGTGAGAACGGACCCAATAAATTTGGTATTTGTTAAGAATTGATGGTTTTCTGTGATTTTGATACGAGACAGACAAATTTGATGCTGAATTAGTGGCAGTTTCTATAGAGGGTTTTATGATAAGAATGAGGAAAACAAAAAAAGCTTTCCCAACAACTTTTTCACAAAGAACTCGATTAGCTGAAAAATCTTCAAAAAAGTGCCCGTTTGATTACACCTATTTGAAAAAAAACGTTACAAGCATTTAATTAACAACTTTTAGTAGCATACTTTTAATAAATTCTTGTTTTTACTAAAACAGACCAAGCACTGTTATGAAAAGGAAAAAATGTAATAAAAGTGAAACAGAATAAATTGCCAGCAATGTTATTACTTTATATAGAGTGACCCTGCATCTAGAAAATTTAATACCCGTAAAATCGTTTTAATTCGTCGCTCATGTTTCGTAAGTTGGCGTCTAGAACGGATCTATTTTCGGCCTGATATGTTCTCATGTCTACCGAAATAACTCTGAACAGCAAAGTTATGTCGGGTTGAAATTTCATTAGCCGTACTTCACATACACATTATATCGATTCGAAAATAAAAAAGTTCGATGGATCTATAAATATTTCATTATTTCATGCTCGCTTGGCCCGGATTTTTTTTTTATTCGAAAGCAGTACTAAATTTATGTGGCCATGGAAATAGGCCTGTGTTTATGCCATTTATGTGTGTGGTCATAATTTCTCTGGTTCTCGATATACGTCTGTTCTGCTTCATTTTATTCTTTTCAGTTTTTCGGTTCCATTGTTTTCCAGGGTGGATTACAACTTTATGAATTAGGGATCACTTATCCCAACGCCCAGTAAACATTTTTTGCTTATTCCTGGGTTTTCAGAGCTTTCAATTTTCCTCGAATTTCTTTGTTCTGTTTAACATAGTTTTGTGTTAATTTTCAAAACTAAACCACCACACGTTTTTCTTCAATCTTTAGTAATTTTTTTTATATTTAATTCATGTTATCAGATATAAGCACGATGTAGTCAGCAAACAGCTATTTATTCAGTCGTCTTAGTTTAGTAGTGGGAAGCATCGAATAAAATAATTCAAATTATTCGATGTTGACAAGAATCGGATCTATTCGACTAAGTTTTGAAAAGATCTCGACTTAAATTAAGACGATAATCGGTTTCATATTCGCGCAGAGTGGCGTTGTTTTAGGACAAGGACATTTTAGGTTTTGAAGAAAACAATTTAAATTGTTCTCTTCTCTAAATCTCGAAACTTAATTTGCATTAAACTAGTTATTTAGATGATCCACACTCTTTCATTGTGTGCCTTACAACTCCGGATCTGCCTAGTCCGTTTTTAAAAACTTTTTAGATAAGAAAAGCTTATTCTTAATAAATACTGGAATAGAGCAAAAAGATTTTTTGAAAATAAACTGAGTTTTAGTCCAGTCCCCAAACCGTCTTCACAAAAATCAAAGAGAATTTGCATTATTATTGATTGATAGTTATGACGTTAAAATATCTTCAGGGAACTAATGAGTTAAAAACAAAATAAGCTTGAACTCTGAACTTGTGTATTGCATAGTAAAATTTCACTAAGGTAGGTTACTTTACGTACGTTGAAACGCTCATCCCTGTGCTTTTATCAACGAAATATATATTAAGAATAAATAAATCCAATTCAATCTTTCCCTACACTATCTCAGTCTGATTTTCATTTTACCCAACACTTAGGGATTATACAGAAACTCTTACAAACCAAAACAAAAAAAAGAACCAGTTACAAATCTGGTTGCCTAATTCTAGACTCTCTATTTAAGTTTTTGCAGTGAAGCTTGAGCAATTGCATGATGTCGCTGTTGTATTCTTCTGGAATTTCCTTCACTTCACATGCCCAGTAATAGATGTCCCAATCATTAGATGGTCCATTGATTAGTCTAGGAAGTTGTAAGAGATCAATAGCAATAGCAGATTGTTGTCTGCTACCACTTACTTGTCATATGTATCAACCTGCTCAGGGGTGAAATGTTCCAGATGTTTAGCCGCAAATGTGCTGAGTAGCAAATCATTTTCAAGCATTCCTCTTTTTCTTGACTGATAAATCAATCTGAAAGTTACGCTTTTACTTTGCTGGACAATTTGGTGGAATTCGTATGAAAATTTTAGGTGTCCGGTTCAGATGTTAATGAACAATGAACACTTTCAGAGAAGTAGGAAGTAGGTTCCTTCTAGGTGTTAGAAATATTTCTAATGGTCAATGCATTTTTGGATATCGAGAAAACATATTTGCAATATATGCTCTGTTCGGTAATTCAGAGAACGAACGAAAGTGTCACAAAAAGTACATGAAATGCAGCAAAGCCCAAGTTGTAATGATATTAATTAAAGCCCTAAAGTTTGGCACTTACCTGGCTTTGCGTTGCTTCAAATCCTCATTTTCTCTAGTTGTGGGTCTTGGTAAGTGTGTGACCGGTTCTTCGGGGGGATGAACGACCATGTCGGACAAACTGCGAGCACAAGCACCCCACTTAAGCCCTCGAGGAACAAATAATACTCTCTACCATAAAACAACACAAGTTCCAAATAATGTTACATAAGTTGTATTTTGTGGTGTCTTACCGCAAAGCTAGAGATGTTAACTGCGTTCATTATTTATAGATTAATTACAGGTGCAATTATTTCCTTTTTTCAAGTTTTAGAAGCTTTTGAGTGAATAGAATTTTCAAAATACAACACTTAACCTATTTTTTCATGTGAAGTCAGAGACAGGTGAAGGCAGAAACGACAAAATGGTTAGTTAAAAAGATGGATTTGCTCAATTTGGCAATCGGGCTTAGAGTCTTAGAACTCCCTATGTAGTTTAATTAAGACTTATTATCCATTACTACTTAATTGAAGTTTTTGTACGAGACCATTTATAATAATATGTAATATGTTTATTTTATTATTATTATTATTGCTTTAAATGCTGCTAGAGGGCATAAGTTTCCAAATACATAAATTGATGTATCTCTATTATAAGTATTTATTAAAAAATCAGTCAATATTTGAGTAGTTTTTCAAACTTAATTAAGTCACATCTTTTTCCTTCCGAATTCTAACACCCTTTATAAGCATTAAAGTGCTTCTGAAGACGCACTAGTTGAGCCAGAAGAACACGAATTAAATTATTAAATTCGCTAAAACCAAAAAATAGGTCAAAGAAAAACGGTAAATTGCTAAATGCCTTAACATCAATTGTACGTTTTTTTTAAATTATACTTTTAGTTCTACGAGGTTAAAACATAAAGTACCATACCAAAAAAACCACAAGTACCATAATATACACTCAGTTGTATTTTCAGTTGTTTTTTATTGGCCCCAAAAAGTATTCAGATTCAGTATCAAGAAAGCATAATAAAGATTATAATAAGGAAACTTTTCATAGAAACCGCAAGGGGCAAACGGATGTTCATGAATATGCATGATAAATCAAAAGTTTTCCAAGACAAGTCAAAGGTGGAACCGCCTTTTGCCCTGTAAAATTTTCTCTTTTAATAATTCTTGTCCATCTAAATATCGTCATATTTACTCGGGTGGAAAATAAGCTAAGGGGTTTTGAGGTATAAAATCGAATCCCGTACATATCAAGAGTACAGTCGTATTTAACTTTGCTTGCCGAAAGTTTATCCCACGAAATGGCTCAACATTTCTGGTAAGGATCGCTACTGTTTCCTGAATTTTGAATATCAGTTGTATTTTGCAGTGCATTTTTGATCATTGCGTCAATTTTTCTGCTGCTAATATCGCAATGCTGCTCGCAAGTTACATTTTCTAGAAACTGGGAAGGAGCTGGAGGCAAACGAAGCGGTCATCCGGTGATTCCAGTTCCAGAAATTTACTTTAAAATAGCTGGAAACAGTATTTGCCAGTATTTGCTGGTAAGTGAGTTAAAAAACACCTATGGATTTGATCTTAAAGTGACTTGAATAACGAGACAAATATCTTGATGTTTAAATAGTAAATGAGCCAAAGTTGAAAAAAGTGTTCTGACAAAAATATGGAGGATGGGAAATTAATCGAAACCTATTAATTAACAGTCGGAATGAGTGTGGATATTAAAGTCAAATTTTATCCATTTCTATTGATCAGAATCGCACATATTGTTATGCATAAAAAGTAGGGTATATGAATTTTAATTTCACCAGGACTTTGCATAGTTTATTTGTAAATATAAAAACTATTTTATTCAGTGCTTTACCTAAGCTTAAATAATTCAAACTTTTGTTTTTATCGGTTTACAGGCAAATAAACCTTCGGCAAGCTCGCCTACCACCATCAAATATTCAATTGACTTTTTATTGTCCTGTTATGTTTCATAACAAACAATTTCTAATCCTCAAATTTGCTGTTAGTTTTTTCGTATAACTTCGTATGATTTCACTGAAAACCTTCATTTATCTTAACTGATAACGAGCTGAAATATGTTTGACAATTTCTCTTTACGGTGACCAACGAAAAAAATCTACTTTGGAGATAATGTAAAATATTAAAATTTTGAAATTTTTGTTAAAATTAAATACAATTTACCAAATTAAAACCATCACGGCTTTTTAAGTTTTCATAAATTTCTCATTTCCAATAATAATAAGTTAATAAATTCTGCTAAGAAATTCGTAAAACCTTAATTGCAACGATTTATCACTTCTAGTGGTTTTCTAAGAAAGGAACTTACAGTTTGTTCTAGTTTCTACTTTCTAATAAATCGTTCTTCTTGATATCTATTTTTTTCTCGACTTTCTCCTATTTATATTATAACTTTAAATAGTCATAGTTCCATTGAAAGATCACTGACTAGTCATAACTTTGAAAATTTGAATCGAAATATTCTATGAGAGCTTTAACTATTTCTTTTTTAGTCGGAAATTAAGCAAATGACTTCATGCGAAACGCGACCGGAAGAAGCAGCTCCAATATTTTCAACGAATTAAGAAAGGCAACAATAATTGTTAATTCAATACAAGGCAATGTAGCTGAAAACCGTAGAAGTAGAATAATATAAAAGTTTCTGTAAAGTTTTGTTTCATTATTACTATTATTTTATTTAAAGTTGTTCTATTTCACTATGCAGAATCTTAGGAAAAAAGGTAAACTAAGGTTTCATTTCGGATAACGTTGGAACTTAAATCAAATCACCTACAAACCTCTGAAAGTCAAGTGAGCCAACTAGTAAGAAATCTACATTTACAAAACCTTTAAAGATTCCCGTTTAGGTACATGTATATATTCTCTTTTTACAAATAATGTCGGTTAATTTTAGTTAGAATTAAAAATGTTTTAAGACTGAGAAAGAAATATTAAATATTTGAAGCAATTAGAAAGTTGTTTTTGTGAGCTTTATTAAATAACGCATCCGCAGACAGTGATTTATTAGGTATTTTTATCTCCTTCAAATCAACTGGTGCTCAAAAATGCTAGGCACTAACTTGCAAAACATTGCAAGTTATTTAGCAGAAATGTTTTAAAACTTTAGTAATCCGTAATATTTATAGTTAGATAAAATGTTTTATTAGCGATTTCCAGTTTGAAACTTAAAATGTTTTATAAAAATAGCAAAAAATAATTTGAAACACGCATCTTAAAAATGAAATCTAATTTAAATAAAAGACTCCCTTAAAGTGTTAAAATTACCGTGTTTCTTAAAATACGTGAAATTACATTCAGCCGCTTTTTCACTCTCCCCTCTAAATTTTGTATGGCTTTACCTTTCGGTATCTGTATTTATAGAATGGATTTGGGGGATAAAATCTTGAGCCTCAGTTAGTTTCAAAAATATTATATTTTTATACTACAGAGTTGGCGTTCTAGTTATTTTTGGTTTCGATTCAAACGCGCAACTGCATTTCCTTTCGCCACAAATTTTGCATCCGCTTCCAGTTCTACCACCTAAAATAGGTAAGCGATGGTCAAATAGTTTCAGCCATGCCTTCAGAAGTGTACATCTACTAAAAAGGCTAAACAAAAAATGTGTATGCGTAAAATATGGCCACCAATCTTAAAAACCGTGCTCTATTAATGGTTTAGGCAAACCATCCTATGGAAGTGAATTTGTCTAGTTTTCATAAAGATCTGCGGATTAATAAAATTAAAAGGTTCCTTAGTGCCGGGCATCGAAATGAAACAGTGCGATTTCGCAAAAATTTTCAAACAAACCGCTATTGTCGTTATTTGCAACTAACTGCTCAGTAGAGATAGGATGAAGCAAAATTCCCTTAGATGTAGCTGCTTGCAAATCAGACTCAATGGAAGTTGCCTCAGATCCAATTTTCTTCTTGTCCTTTACATACTGACTTAACATAGAATGCTTGTTTAAAATGCTTATATTATAAACTTTACGTTAACTTCAACTTACCTAGATTGGGATTCCATGTTCTTACCCTTGGTAATATTCACGTTAATATCTGAATCGCCAATGTCTTTCCTAATAGCTTCGTAGCAGCCACAGTAATATCTGTTTTGCCCTGGCGTGCATTTGCTGCAGGAACACTGAACATTTGGGCCTAAAGTTTAAAAAATGTATAATTTTTTGCATACCAAAACGTAAAAAATACCATTTTGCAATCGCTGACAATTTTCCATATAACATATAGGATTTGGCGGATACCGCCCACCTCCCGCGTTGAATGTTTTATTCTTAACAGATTTGGTTGCAACATTTTGCGAACAAGTTGCGTACCTACAATTAAATAATAACTAATTTTTTCGGTCAGTTTCTAGATACTCACCTTCTAGGTTTGGCCGTTTCAAAAATACCTCTATTCGAGGATGGTTTATGAGAAAATTGCTTTGTTTCTTCGCTGAACGATCGAGCAGAATTTGGGGGATCCTTGCTCAACGCAAAGTGTGAAAAGCTATTATCTAAGATTAAATATAATTTGTGTGTTCAGTTGCCTGTGTCCAATTCGTCCAATGCTTACCTTCAGCCTGATATTCTTGCAATAACGTTTCCCCGGATGGCAACTGCGTAATAAAATCATCTTGATCCAGCTCTACTTCTAACAGGTCAACCTCTTCTTTGCTCTCATCGTCATCCTCTCGGATGGTAGGATCACTTCTACCAAATAAACGGGCTTGGAGGATGAAATCCAATTGCTTCTTGATGTTTTCGTTAGTTGTTATCTGCAATTGAGAATTCTCTTTTATTTATTCCGGCTGTTTTCCTATAAAAGTCGCAAGTAAATAAGTTTCCCAGAAATAATCAGAAGTTTGTCAGATCGCAATGAGAAACAAAGTGCTCTGCAAAAGTGATGGAAATGTAGATTTAGAARGTAGAAATGCGCCTTTTAAATTAGAAMTGCTGATATGTAYAGGGTTATTRATTGAACTYTGGTCACCCCGTTTTTGCATCTAATTTGAAATTTAGACAAAAATGTTATATTCWAAAGTTGTAGATATTAACGTCTAGTTTATTTTAAGATAGTAGCAATTGATACAGGGTGTCTSAAATTCAAGTGGCAAGCRAAACTTACCCTTTTTAAATTAAATGTACTTTTTATTGCATTTTTGAGCTATCTGTAAAATTCTAGGCCTATTCGATATAAATGCAAACTAACATTATGTAATTATGTAGCAAGGTAATTTACGAACCTAAATGCATTTSATTATTGARAATTATTAAAAGTCTGAGCTGAAATATTTATGGTTYCTTTATTTATAATAAAGACAAKAATTTCGTCGACATTAATGATCCGAATCAGAAATCATGTTTATTTATAATAATTGTAGTTTTTTCAATGTAAAATAAATCGGAATTAAAATTWRTAGATGAAATTTRAAGTTCTACCTGCTAAAGTAGTGCTAAATTCTAGGACATTGRTGTGTGGGACAATTAAAACTACTTCGCTTTTYCAAAGAAAATAAKTAAAGTTTTTAGAGGTATTTTGCAYTTTAATCAACTCTTCCCACTTAAGGCAAATTTTTCTCTGTTTAACTTCAATTTTTCATACAGTGAATGAATCCGGAATTTTCGAATTGTTGATGAWTTCTCAATACTAAAACCTGAAGTGAGTGAAATGACGATGCGTCAATTGGTATAATTTCCCAAAACATTAATGAATTTGCGGTGGAAATTGCAAACATGACAGTGTAATTCTGTTCTAAACCAAATACTGTTTAGGATTTTTGGGAAAAGTCAAGTTTTAAAGTGTTTTAAATTTTTCTAACGTAGAACAAACGTAAAATTAAAATAATAAATAAAAAGTAATTGATTTCTAGTTTTCTTGGTAAAAGTGATAGTATTATTAGGAACAATTCTCATCTTTCTAAGAATTGTAGGTAGTAAGTAAAATGTAGAAGTAAATGAATAAATCTTTCTCTAATTAATCCACTTTTTTAAACCGCAAGCAAAATTAGATTTCGCTCAAATTTTGGTCAAAATTAAGTAAACTTTTGAATTGGTTAAATCGATTACCGTTGAAATGTTTATTAAAAGTTGAATTTTCATTGCAAGAATTGATAATTTTGCCTGAATGCGTATTGCCTCTTTGCATTGCAAGTTCTTTTGGCTTTCAGTGTAAATTCGTACAAATTTATGCGAGTTTTGTGGTATTGTTAACAAATAATTTGAGAATCGATACCTTTTTTCTGTAGGAAATGAAGATTATATGTATATATTTCGACAATGCTTCAAAATGTTGATAAATCCGTTTCTACCATATTATTGAGCTATTTTTTATAAACTCTGGATTTTTGCAAGGCAAAAAAACTGGAATTTAAATTGCAAACTGTCTAAAGTTTTGATGCCAAAACTGATGAAATTTTCGACTTATATTGCCTTTGAAACTGATGAGAATTTCCGGTTATGTCTGCTGGAGTAAAATTACGCCACGTAATGATAGTTTTACGAAAACTTTCGGAAATATTAGTGATCTTGTGAAAATAATTATCTTGCAAATGAGAACGCAAATAAATACTTTTTCTCCAACTTAATCTTTTTGTTGAAGGAAACAAGGGACAGTTTTGTCTACAAAATAAATACCTTTCCAACTATCCAATCAGAAGATTCTTATTAATTTAACTCTTATCCTGATACATACCTGAATAAGTTTTATTATAATTTTATCAAAGTGTTGATTCAAAGCCTCATCAACAATTTCGCTTCTTTCAAACAAACTGAACATCACTCCGTTGATGTATGGAAGATAGGTTTCATTTTCGCATTCTAAAAATTTTCTTAAAAGACCAACGATTTTTATGGGGTCTTTGGTTGATCTCTCCTTTGCTTCTGTTACCTTTAAATTTACAATAACGTAACTTAACTCAATTTAATATAAAATCACTTTAAGAATGTGGAAGTTCTCAGTATTTTTTTATAATAACTTTTTGAAGCTACTGCTTAATTTGTTCTATTTATTAGTTGTTTATCAGTTGATCGTTTGGAAAAACGAATGGAACAATAACAGTTAGAAAAATTCAAAACTTAGCTTTTAATTGAAGAGCGGGTACCCACCAGACATAAGTTCATTAGCAAAGCGGAGCAATACTCCAAACAATACTTGGACAATTTTTCGTAAAAGTCATCCATATAGTCCACTATGACTTCGAAAAGCCCTTCGTTCACCATTTGAATTCTGCATTGTTTCCTTATCGACAGTTTTTGTACACTAGCAACCTAAAACGGAAAAATTCCTCATGAGGTTCAACAATAATTACAAAGTTTCCACTTTTGGCCAACTTACCAACATGTTTCTAATCACGGCACCGGACACGCTTTTTACATCTTTAACTTTCTTTATGAGAACTCGTTTCAATAATCTTTCATCCAATGTGAGGTAATCTCTTCCAAGTCTTAGCGATGCCAGGGCGTTTATCAATCTACAGGCAGACTCCTACATTCAATGAAATGTTTCAATTTATATGATAATGTAAAGATTTGGAACCGATTTGAGTTGGAGCAAATTTTTTAAAAACCTATCATTTTGTTTTTCGTAAAAGGTCTCGAACTGTGTGTTCGGCAGGTTCATTTAGTTTTGGCTGTAGGTTTTTTGGCAGTAAATTTCCTTATTTAGAATCCCGAATTCACCATATTTTCCTTGTCCTTTGCAGTTCAACAGTTATATGGAAAGAACCAACGGTTTTTATTATTGATAAATTAAAATGTAAACTTTTGGAATAAGAACACAGCTTCCAAGGATTTAAAAAAAACACCGCTAAACCTAAAATTCAGTTGCTCCAACCCAACCAACCTCACAGCATAAATAATATAATAAATATTAGAAGTGTTATATACTTGAACATAATGATCCATGTCGTATCCCAGCAGCAATCTTTCAGGTATACTAATATTGGCACGTAATTCTAACACATCGTGGTTTGCATAAGATTCCATAACTTTTTCCCTTGTCGGTCCATTGTTTTTGGTAATTCTCTGGAAAGGTGGCGAGATATTAAAAAACTATTTAAAGCCGGTTGCCTCAAAGTACCCATCTAAGAGCCTGTAGAATTCGAATCCTTTTCTCATTTTCGCTATACATGAGGTCTGCTTTCAGTTTAGCATAGTTGATATAAACAGAATTTTGATGCCTACGGATCAAGTCAATAGATGAGGACCATCGCTACCTGAGTGTCTTGTTTACCTCATGTTAACCGACTCGGGCCTGGATAATTCTCCTTCTCCAGCTCCACAGTTGGAAGGCGATTTAATCGCCTCATTTAGCACGTTGCCTACAATCTTTTCCACATCAACTTTATTTAGTGGTTGTTCTTTTGGCTCGATTTCCGCAGTTTGGCAGCTAAAAATTATGAATCAGGATACTTGAAAACGCATAGAATTTTAATTAAATGACTTGCCGTTCCAACTCAAAAATTCTTTCAAAAACCGTTTCCAAAACGTAGCGCACAGTTTCGGGAGTAAGGGGCGATGGAAGTGGAGTAATGGAACCTAAACTCTCCAAATTCAAGTTCAGGAAGATGTCTTGAGGTTGAGCATTTTCAGTTGGTTTAATGGATCTAGACATTTAGAATTTAACGGGGTAAACTTGCTTTATATTTTATTACACCGTACTTGATAATGGTTGCGTCATCATTCTTAATCTCTTTCATTTCTTCTGGATGAATCACTTCAAGCTCATGGTCATTTAGTAATACATGCTGGTTATCATTTGGCTGTTCTTCAGATGTTCCACTTTCAAACAAAGTTGGGTAAATCTGCTTGCATTGTTCTAAAACCGTTCCAATGTTCCTGGTTTGGCCGATTATGTTCATTTGCAGGGCTGTGGTCAACTCACTTGTAACCGCTACAAGATCCTAAATTTACCTTGTGATTAATGTGAGCTTTCAATCGATACCTATTAATTTATGATGTTCATTTTGTAGCTGATCAAATTTGGACTTTAAATGCTTGACTTCATATCGGGAAGTTTCACCAGTCGCTTTTATTCCCTGTTCCTCATTTCTGATTTTTTCGTTATTATTTACAGATCTGAAAAACATTATCCGGAAATTCAAGCGGCCGATTAATTGACGTACTTGGTCCTACCGTAGTTCAGTATAAAATTGGCTTTCCTGACAATGATCGCACACATAAAATATATGAGTATCGTTCGGTTTAATTTGAAAAGTTTCTCCCTGAAAAGTTCCTTCTAACCAGTGGTTTCTACACCTGGCACTCGGTTTAGTATCAGTCTGATTCGCTTGGCTTTTCGAACAGTTACATCTAGCTAAGAGAATTGAGGCGCTTGGAAGCTTAGCGATGTCAGCTTTTTTTATTCCCCATTCCCCCATGAGGGTGCTAGCGGTTTTTGGAAATTTTTGATGTTCCAGGAACTAAAACATCAGCTCTTGAGTTAGAGGAAATTGAAAATGAAATTCGGAAAGCTAAAGATACGAATTCGTTTTTAATTTTACGCTTTAAACATAAGTATGAAGAAAATCTTCCGGTTCAAATGTGATTCGATTAATAAAAAATTCAAATTATTGGCTACGATCAGAGAGGAGTCAGGTATTTAAAGGAAAAATTATTAATAACGCTTTAAACCAGAGCCAGTAAAATTATATTGGTGTTTTTTTTCAAATTCCACTAATCCTTAAGTAAGATGGAAAAATACAATTAAGTATTACAATTTATTTAATTTAGGGGGCGAAAATATGTACATTAAAATTGTGAGTTCACATGGGATGGCATAGTGCTTAGATTACGTTTTACAACAAAAAGCAATTTAGAAAACGGTGATTCTAAATTAGAATTCACATAGCAAATTAGTGATCATATAATCATCATTTTAAGGTAGAAACATTTTATTTTCATTTCAGTCCGTAGAGAACAATATTTAGATCATTATAAAATAGCATTTGAAATTCAATTATGCCAGTGATCTGTTTTAAACATTTTTACCATGTTTCTAGAATTCAAAAGCTTTGTTTCAGTTTTATCATGAAGAATAAAATTGATTTTAGAAAAGACAAACAGTTAGTTTCAATTAATCTTAAATTCATTATAAGGAAAAAAGTGTTAATTGAAATACGCATAAGGTGACGAAAACCCGAAAAATTTTGATTATTTGAAAAGCAAGATTTAATATTTTTAAATTTTAATTCAAAAAATGTATCTCGCTTCAATTAATAATACATTTCCACTGATTATTTATTCAGTTCTGAGATGAATAACATTAAAATTCCAAAAGAAGAAATTCATTGATTCTAATTAATGTAAATTACAGTTAAATTTTAAAAAAATCAACTAAATAAAAACTTGGCAACGGAACTGAAAATTAATTAATTACCAATTATTCCAGAATTTTGATATTAAATTGATATAATTTTGAAAATAATTCACATGTGATCAAATAAATGAAATTATTACTTATGATCCCAACTTATAAAAACAGAAGTTTTGCATTCAATTAATACTCGAAGGTTAATTAAATCGCATTCAGTAAAAACATTTAATTGAAACCATTGAATGAAAGTTAAGATCCAAATAAAAAAATGAAAGGAGAAAAAAATATGAACACAGTAAAAAGTGAAATTTGATTTTAATTGCCGCAGTTAATTTAATGCTTCGAAAAAATCGTTTAAATTATTTTATATACAGTGTGTGTTAGTATGAAATAGTTTCATTGCGTCTAAACGGTTAGAGTGAGGGAAGAAATTAAAATACCGTGCTTCCTACATAACATAAAAACATAATGTTGACGCATATTCATAAAAAAAAACCTTTAAAAGGCACTACCGTCAACAAGTTTGGATTTTTTATAGCGTCCGCCAATTTTTATTTCGTTTCTAAATTCTCTATTAAATTTTCAATATCATTTTATACCTGGACCTGGATTTTTCTTGGCGTTCTTTGCAATAGGTAAATCAAAAATGTATTTCTCAGAAATGGTAAAACTTGCCAACCTTCTTTTCTCTTTAGATTTTAGAGAAAAATTTAGATTTCAAATCAATAGAGATCAAAATATTTCTAATTAGTTTTTTATGGACACATTAGATCTTTCTATTTTCATTTATTTGACATTTAATATGGCATACATATAAGTATAGGTATAAGTATGAAAAGATACGAAGTATACGACGAAAAATAAATTAAAGAAAAAAAAGCTAATTTTCAAAAAAAATTGGTTTAGTCATTTGAAATATGTGAAATCTGTAATTCTTGCAGATGCAGAACACAAAGTTAGAAACACGGTATTTTTTTTGCCTCAATCTTATTTAGACACAAGAAAACTGTTTCAAAAATAAACCTCTGAGACATGATGACAAAAATGCTCATGAACTATCGACAATTATGACAAAAACATTTTTTACTTATATGTTTTTCATTTAGGTTGAACAAAAATACAAATGAATAATTAATTAAAACTGATGTAATTAACTGAATCAACTGTGTAGATCACAATAAAGTGAAAAAAATTGAAAGAACCGCAGGAAGAAGCAAAAAATAGTTTAGAATGGCAACATTAAGTCATTTTTTTTTAACCAATCTGCTGTTACGCAAGCTGATAAAGCACAATAAACAAAAATAGTGAAATGGTAAGCAAGCTCAATTAATTCTCATAAACGGCAGCTAAAAGCTGCGTTGCACACCCGTTGTGCGATATAAATTTAATGAGTTATTTTATTTTCAAATTGAGCGCTCAATGGCGCAGTGTCTTCGAACAAATTCATAATTTTCATTATAGTAAGGTTTTAGTCGGAATTGTTATCTTTGTAAAATAAACGATTGGCGCACATCTTCAACTTTGCAAACTTAACTGCATCAAGTAATTGGTGGAAAAAATACCCAAAAAGCAGACATTTACGCACAAGTAAGTGTTTCAGATCTTACCAGAAAGAGCGTTTTGAAAATTCCCAGAGCATTAGCTTCCCTAAAACAAATTCAAATGAAAATTTGGATTTCTTCTAAAAACTTACTTACCTACTGTATTAAACTCGACTTTTTATTGTCCATGAACACTTATGATTTCCGTTGGTGAATGAGGAACGTAAAATGGAAGACAGGGTTGAGCATTTTCTGCTCGTGAAGAACGCGAAATTTGAACTGATATTAAAATCAGAATTTGACAGTGCAAATCGATATGGAACTTCAAATTTGCATGTCAGATGGACGAAACCTAGATTGCAAATTCCAGTGTTTCTTCATAAAGGCCTATTATACTCGCTGGTAGATCAGAGAGGGTGATTCAACTAGGACTAGGTACATTTGGTGATAATATTCAACTCAATAAATCCAGCCAAATAAAAAAATTCCAAACATTATTTTGCCTAATTTTATATTGAACAGCTTGAAGTTTTTCGATTCTATTCTATTGGTAAACTTGCTTACTGCTTCCGCTTCCAAAATGAAGCTTGTTTAAGCTTCGAGAATCTAAGAGTGTTAGCTCAGAACCCCTCCAAATTTTTGAGGTGCTTTGACAGGAGTATGCATCTACTCTCTAAGCTAATTGGTTCGTTCTTTGACACAAACCTTCTGTCATTTCCCGGAGTATGTGTCAAATTAAATCCAGACGAAGAGTAAGAGCGCGTAAAGTGTGAAGCAACCGATAAATGCGGCCCAAAGCTTGATGTTAACTGATCTTTGAAAATCCAAGCAATTTCATAGAGAACACCATAAACTTGAAGTTCTCATTTGTGTCATTGCTTGCTTGAAAAACTATATTATGGCCGTTTTCTCATATAGAAGGAGTTTTATATGATGTAGCGTGTCTTCTGGATGCGACCTACTTACTCAACCTTCTATGGCGGTTATGCCTGTATAATTTGTGGAAGTTTTAGCACACATATTTTTCCTTAAATCAACACTTGCGTATCTAAGGACGCATATTTTTCAGTTTGAGTGATTGAGGACATTGAGGATTCCCGGTTGAAAGTCCAACATTCCTGTCTGAGCTCAGCTTGTACAAATAATACAAATAGAAACTTTGCTATGTTGGGTAATGTTGGGCATTTTCAGCTATCGTCCACCATAATGCAAATACTCCTTATGGAAAACTTTGGAATATTTCAAATCAGTTTAATTCTAAGTGGTCACGACATCGCTACATCCCGTACCTGTTGTTTAAAGCCTTGTGATTAATCCAGTTTTTTTCTGTGTCGTTCCCATTTATTTCCTTTAATAATTTTAGGCCATGACAACAGCATGGAAATGCGAATCAGAACACATTTTAAGCAGCAAAATATTATTAGGTTTGTTGGACGTAAACTATTTATTTAAGTGAATCCTCAGCTATAGCTTAAGAAAATAATCAAATAGTTTCCTTGTTTTGGATTTCTGATTTCCTCATCACTATTTCACTTGTAATTTTCTGTGGACATTTCTCTACTTGTGCAAAAAAGTCGCACGGCCATGAAGCTTCTTAATTAAATAATTTTTTTTCTCGGCAGTTTTTTCTTTTTGCCATTTGTTGATTTAGCTGCAAAAACTGTTCAAAACGAGTGGTCGTTATTATCTTTTAAAATACAATACTCGGTTCAAGGCATTAAATATTGTTGAATTTCGGGATTAAAAATAAAAACCTGTATATAATTTTTCGTTAAAACTATTGATTTCAGCGATCTTTCGGAAAAATTTCAATATTTCAAATCTAATTCTTCTGTACACCCATCTGTTCAACCTTCATCAACTTTCCAGACTGTTGAAGTCCATAACTAAATTAAACCTTGCAATTATTTAAAATGTATTCAGTTCGACTTAATGCTCTTTAATTTATGGGTACAATAATCGGGTTCATTAAATTTGTTAAGGTGGTGCTGCAAAACTCAAGCAACGTATGGTTTCATTTTTATTTTCGTATAAAAATAGTCAACAAGTTATAACAAACAATCAACAATAAACTATTTACAAAGGCAGTCAGACGGTTTTTACAAAACACTGTGTTCAAATATTACGGACTAGTCAACAACAGAATATCATTTAATGCGAATCGTGACCAATAGATCCAGAAGAGAGCTGCTCCCATCCGCCTGATGAGTCGCCTTCACTGGCTCCTAATCACATCCAGAAAAAAGCTGAGTATCATGTTTGCCACACGTATTTATATCAACTTACCTAGGACATCACTATAATGGCCTTCAAATCCACCGCCACCTTCATGTACTCCATATCCTCCATGTCCTCCATCAGAACCACCTCCATGTCCGCCAGCTGAATATTTGCCGGATGCAACAAAGCTGCCTCCAAACGGACCATGATGACTATCACCTTGATTGGTCAAATCGATGGTCTGTCCTTTTTGGCCTCCGCCGCCTCCTACAATGCTCACACCATGGTGAAAGTCTCCGCCGCCGGAGGATCCGCCGCTTTCGTATCCTCCGCTGCCTCCGCTTGCCCATCCATGGTCTCCTCCTCCCAAGTCTAGTGTTTGACCTCCGCTTCCAAAGCTACTATCACCTAGGCCGTGACTGGCTCCGCTTAAGGAAATGCTGGCAAGACTGAGACCATGGTCGCCTCCACCTTCCCCATCATGCCCGAAAGCTAAAAAAAAATGCTCATATGCAATTCTGAAAAACGTCTTCCATTGGTGCTGTTAGGTACTTTTGCCACTGGCAAACTGACTAAGGTAGTGGAAATCAAGCGACGGGTCAGACAAAGAGGTGTTCTTTCACCACTCCTCTTCAACCTCTATTCAGAGGAAATCTTCACCAAAGCCCTCAAAAAATGAAGAGGGTTCCAAAGGCGTTCCACTGAATATTTTTTATGCAGACACTTTTTTTTATACAGTACCTCTTGCAGAAAACATGTGTGATTTCCAAAATACGTTGAATTTTGTCACAGCTAGTCTACAATATGGTCAAACACTGTCTGTAGGTGGAATGCAAAAAGTCGAAAGGTATCACTAGTATTATTCACTAGAGAAAATGTTCATCAGAAAAATATGACTTAAATGAAATATAAATTTATTTATAATTTTGTGTTTAGAAATGAAAGATAAAATAAAAGTAATTGGTTGTAATAACGAACATTTACATAAAACTTCAGTACCTACGAAATATTTTAAGTGACACCGCAACTGAAAACAAAGCGCTTGTTTTTGTATGTGTTTTATAAAATTTGGTAGAATAAATGGTCGGTAATTTAGCACACCTATGAGACCAATTAGTTTGGAAAAAGACAAAACAAAGCGAACATTGGAAAAACACAATTTTTTTCAAAATTTTACGTAGAAAAGCATTTGCAAAAGAAACTAAATTAGATCTCAACAGCAAATGTAATTATTATTAGAATTGGCGGTTTAAGATACTTAATTAAAACGTAATTTCTAATTTTGTGAGAAAATTGGTTTGTCGCCGGCTTTTGCAAGATTTTTTACTTCTTTTCCAAATCTGCATTTTGCAATTTTTATGCCTATTTCTTCTGTTTCATTTTTGAATGGTTTATTTTCCTCTACTAATTTTTTTCAGCTTTATTGGCACGAGCTTAAGAAATATTATCTTTATTGTTTAAAATGCCGCGAAATTATCATGGACTTGAATACAGCAATGTTCAAAATCAATAATGACCATAATTTGTTAAGAAGTTGTTAGGAATTTTTTGCTTAATATTAATAATCCATTTAGGAAAAGAAACATTTTGAATAACGATTGCTGTTGGGCTCAATGATATAAAAAAACTTAGAAGTTAATAAAATTTAACACTATCGTTTAAACCAAACCAGAAAAATTTGCGAGATTTAAATAAAGGAAAGAAATTTGGACCGAGACAATTAAAAAAAATCCAATTCTGAAACTGTTGAACACGCATTAAGTTTATATAAACTGCTGATATTCTTTTTGCAAATACAAAGATAAATTCTTAATGCTTGAAAGTGTAGCATCATTTATAACAATAATTAAATTCTGGTAAAAAAATTATTTATGAACATTTGTTTGCACATTTGTAATAATCTGCAATATATTTTTACAAATACATAATAACGGAAATGTATACATAATTAACAGATTAATCTCCGAATAAAGAAAACTTTAACCGATTGAAGAATATTATAGAAAATAATTTATCTTAGTCCTAAAAAAAATTAATGTCATAAAAGGACACACTTATATGAACTTTAATTAAAAAACAACCGCTCTCAAGTTGTTAAACGATTTACGCACTCTTAGCAACATTCACTATTAAACTGAACTAATTAATTTTATCCGCAATCCTAAAATGAAAGGAGCGGATTGCATCAAATTCACTTCAAAATAAAAGTGATAGTTTTCCAGCCAAAAGAGAGCGTAAAGATGTAATTGAGTGGAAGTGAAATCGATCATCCAATACGAAAAAAGATCTAATAACAGATTATTTTAAACCTAAACGACATGCATAGTGGTTTCAAGATAGAACTGTTGATCTCATTAGAAATCCTCGACATTTCCGCATAGTAAACTTCCTATTGCGTAAAAAACGCAAATGTGATTATGTAATGGTTATTAGTATGAAAGAAGGAAGCATAAAGCAATAATAAATCAAATGTTAACGCTATAAATGTTTTCGATTAATTGGGGATTTACTTACAATAGCAAGTTAACCATCTGGTTCATCTGCACTTCAGTATGCAATACAGCATCTTTTGCATACAGTTTTGTAGTTTTATTGATTATGGAAAGTAAGTGCAGAGCAGACTTGTTCTGTACCACTTCCAAGCGTTAAAATTTCGTTGTTAGCTTGAGAGCTTTTAACTAATTAAATTGCCTTAGTTTATGAAATTGTGCAGAACGAAGAATGTCTGCGAACCACTTTTTATTAAAAACGTATCATTATTTTTTATTTTTTTAATAAAATTAATCATTATTTTTCATTTAGGCTTGACTTCTATGTCTCAAATATGGACTTTTACCCATCTAAATAAGATGATAAAGCCGTTCATTGCACTTCCGCTGAATTAATTTCTAACCACTTGTAATAATGTTTTGCTCAACGGTGGAAAGTAGTTCTGTATTTTTGGAACAGATTTTTCAAATATTCTTGAACTAACCACTCCTTAAAATATTAGAAGGAATATGAAGAACAACATTTCCGAAAGAGAAGTGTACATTTCACTTTTCTGCCACCGATAACTTGAAAATTATAAATGTGAGCAATTTCCTTCAATACTTTTCTACTCAACATCAACATGAAGCAAACGCTAGTCTGCAATTCTTCTGTTTCAAAGACATTTAATTTGTGCACGATTTTTACTTAAAAAGTATGCAACATATAAAAATTCTAGTCATAGTTTAGGGAGAAACATATAAAATCCGGGGCCCCAACACACAGATTCGAACAAAAAAGTTAAATACAATCTGAAAAAGATCGAAAATGGAACAAGCATATTGTAGAAGAACTGTTGTATGAACAATTTACGAAAACGTTGCCGAATTACGGAAAATAATTATTGTATAGAAACAGCTGAAGAGAAAATTGCCAAAAATGGAAACAGAAGACCTGATGATGGAATCAAAGCGACGTGACTAGTCTATAACAAGAACATCGGCGCTTTTCCTTCCAAATTTGAGATAACAACTCAACAGAGATTAATTGCTTCATTAATTGCTGCCTTCCATTTAGATTAATGTGACTTTCCAATAACATACACACTGTTAATAAGATAATAGAAAATGTATACTTACAAGTAGATACAATTCCCGGTCGGCAAGATCCAAGAGACACTATGGCACTGAGCACCACAAACTGAAAAAATTTGTAGATTGAAAAAACATTAAATGTTAATTAAGGAACGTACCTGACAATATAAAAAGTAACAAATAAAGTTTGTTCAGATGTTTCAACGAAACGTTATTCGATCAATAATTTTCTTGTTAAAAAGGGAGTTAAAATCTTATTTAGAGATACTTATATTCGAATAGTACTCACCCTAAACATGGTTCTGCGTTGAAAAATATTCAAACAATATTGAGGTATGTAAACTAGCAGATCACTTCCTGACCACTATCTTTTATAGTGCAAGTGATTGTATCGGGGCGCCTTTTGGAAAAGAAGGGGACTAAAGGTGGGCCCAAAGAAAGCCTTTCTCTCGCTACGGATTAAAGCATTCAAGACCAATGTTAATAAACTGTGACTGAAGATGTAATCTCTCCAATCCGTTGGTCTTATGCATGGACGATAATTGAAATTCGTGCAAAACAAATAGTGTTAGAATGTATAGACAAAAACAATGATAATGAATTCCATGCATGGAAAGTCGATAATCCCGGAATTACATAATGTGAGTGTCTGCAATTAAAAATTAATTTTATAGTTAATATTCACATATGTTTAACAATCACTGTTATGGTAGATGATAAGAAGACCTTTATGAATATTATTATTTTTGAAGAATAATCCATTTACCGGTTGGATGTAAAATTTTGTACAAAGGGATTTTGTCTTCCTAAATGAGACATCTTGCATATTAAAAAATGCAGTTTTCGTCTTTGCTTATCCCGATATCAAATATGCCTACAGCCCACATTATTTAATATTTTATTTTGTACTTAAATCAATTACTGAGAGTTTGGCGATTATACAATCATATTCTGAAAATGGGCCTAAAAAAGGTCGTTGTGGAAAAGCCGTTCGCCGCAGCTCCACCTCTGAAGATGCAAGCTACTCGTGTATGCGAAACGCCAGAAAAAACTACCTTCCACTACAGCCTAAAAGCGCGAAAAACTCATCAGTGAAAAGATCATAAAATTAAAAATATGATCCGAAAGTAACATTAAAACATACTTTATACAAACCGCTTAAAAAATTTGTGAGGCGTCTTATACTTAATACGGATGGCATGTTAGCATCTTTAGGTAACAACACCAACATTCGTTGTTACGGCTTTTTATGTCCGTACAAGTAAATATTTATAAAATAAAAATGTAATTTTTATTATTTATTTTTTTAGTTTCTAACGTACTAATAGAAAACCTATGTATATGTTTTATCTTTGGCCTGCACCTAAATTACATAACATTTAAAAATTATTTTTGGGTTTCCTTTGGAAAGTTTTCTATATTTTTTTACCTGCGCAGTATCATAATGAACAAAGAAATAGGTTTCTAACGCACATTACCAAAAATGCAGAAAACTGACAAGAATAAAAAAGTTTATGAATTCAATTGGCTATCGCGTGAACAACGTTCGGGGAGAAGTTTTTAAAGGAAAAAAAGAGAAAAAGTTGTCGTTGAAGCGTCATAAATCGGACAAAAAAACCCACAATAAACCTAGATATAGAAATGTTCGCTGAAAGGGCAAAAATCAAAGTTTATTGGTAAAACTCCCTCTAAACAAACAAATATGTGGATATCATTATGAAACACTAATCTTTGGAAACACTTTGAATAGGCAATAGTAATACTACCAACATCATCTTTCCTTGTCTACAAGCGGTCTCAGACAGAGCATATGCGCAGAAAATCTGGCAACGTCCGCATCATTGGCAACAACAACGCCGACGCTGACATTTCAAGTCACTTTTTCCTTTTACACGGCGCTTCTTCAGTGAGTAGTTGCCTGTGAACGTGGAGTATTTTTTTCTTAAATAATCTGCGCCATCCTAAAGGTTTGGTGATTCAAAATGGTTCAGAAGAAAGTAAGTACATTAGATTATAGTTTGCAGTCAATATTTTCTAACATGTTTGTGTATTATAAAAAATCTAAGCCCAAAAGCTGTTTGCGAAAACTTGCGATCTATGGCCGAAGGAACTTCACAAAATTTATACCTTCGTTTACGATTCAATGCTTCACAGTATCTTCCCATATAATAATTTCAATTCGCTCTGGAAGCATTATGTTACTAAAATATAATTTTATCAGGTTATGTTTATAGCTTGGTCTATAAAAACGTGTATATTTTTAAAATTCACAATAATTATTTATAAGTTTTAAATGATGACCGTATTTGCTATCCGAATGGTTTTGTGGAAATTCAACTACCACCAATAGTTTTGACTGAGTTTCATTGAAAAATAATATTGCGACTCAACCCGTGATTCCCAGACTTAAAGCATGTAATTTTAGCCGAAGAAGAAGGTTGGAAAGAAGGTAGCAGCAGCCCCTCTTGCTGTAAAGAAAACTGAAGCAAGGAAGGAGGTCAACCCCTTGTTCGAGAAGAGGCCCAGAAACTTCGGCATTGGTAGGTAGAATCATTGAAACTTGCTTTTTTAATGCATAATAACAATGATGTTAATATTGAAGCAGACATTTTGCTGTTGACTCCCAAATATACGAGCTTTTTAATTCTGATATATTCCACTTTATTTACTGACTTCCCACCTCAACCACCAAGCGTGTTATTTACTTGTGTCTTCATCTAGGGCAGGACATTCAGCCTCCACGTGACCTCTCCCGGTTCGTCAAATGGCCGAAATATATCAGAATCCAACGGCAGAAGGCTGTTTTGCAAAAGCGATTGAAGGTGCCTCCACCAATCAATCAATTTACCCAGACATTGGATAAACAAACAGGTTAGTGATGTAAGTCCATATTTTAAGTATTATCCATTTGTATTATTATTGGAGCTTTTATTGATTTACCGAATATCCCACAGTCTAAATGTTATTTTTTTTTACAGCTACGCAGCTTTTCAAAGTCTTGGAGAAGTACAGGCCTGAAACTGAGCTGCAAAAGAAAAATAGGTAAGTCTAGTTGAACTTTCGTCAAAAATATGTACTAATACAATTGCCTTTCCAGATTGAAGGCTAAAGCTGAAGCGAAGGTAGCCAAAAAAGAAGTGGCTCCTTCGAAGAAGCCAAATACTTTGAAGGCTGGTACTAACACAGTTACCAAATTGGTTGAACAGAAGAAAGCCCAATTAGTGATCATTGCCCATGATGTTGATCCAATCGAGGTAAGATCGGATTTAAATCAATTCGAAAATGTTTCTTTGATAAGTTCTAAATTTAAAATAGTATCAATCTATCGGTTCTTCGGATGCACTTAACGGTAACTTTTGCTTTGCTAAGAAAAGCGAAAAACTATTACAACTATTGCACTAGAGTCAACGGTACTCGTCTTAGAACATTATTTTCTGGATATTATATTTAAAAAAGTTGATAAAAAATACTTAAGTATTAAGGTGCTATATGCCGATGAACTAAAACAAATTTAGAAGAAGAAAGACAAATTAGAAGTAAAACAAATTTAGTATTTAATACTGAACTCATTAAATGAAGAAATTGACTGAACTACAACAATGATGTAATATTGAATTTCTTCGACTGAAGTTCCTTTTACAGGGTGCAAAAAAGTGAAGACACGTGACACTGAGTATTGCGTGTATATGAAAAAGTATTTCGTATCATTTTAGTAGAAATTTAATTGTGCTTCCTCTTTCAGTTGGTTCTCTTCCTGCCTGCCCTTTGCAGAAAGATGGGTGTCCCATACTGTATTATTAAAGGCAAGGCTCGTTTAGGTAAGTTCATGGACGTGTCCTTTTCCTTAAATTTATTTCTTATGATTATGATGATTCATGCATAATAGTCTTCTTTTCCCGTCTGAAAAGACATGCTGACAAGCATTTACTGACAACACATTTAGTGCAAAATTCAAAAACATCCCGTGCTCGTTGCAAGATGTAATATCAGGTAAATTGTTTATAGGTCTTCTTGTCAGACGCAAGACATGCTCCGCAGTGGCTCTCAGCCAAGTTGACTCTGGAGACAGGTCTAACTTTAACAAGATTTTGGAGGCCATCAAAACGAACTTCAATGACCGTGGCGATGAGCTTCGCAAACACTGGGGTGGTGGTCTGTTAGGCACGAAATCAGCGGCCCGCGTCGTGAAAATCGAGCGGGCGAGGGCCAAAGAATTGGCACAAAAGCAGGGGTAATCGCTTAAGCGAGACTCTGCAATAAATAATATTTAAGTTGATTTGGGTTTATTTTTTATATATTCCTTTTTCCTTATATCCTTCAAATTTTGCAGTAGTTAATATTGCAGCCACAAAGCTACGCTTTACTTATTGATTATTACATCCATTTGAATATGCGCCGCAAATGTGTGGTTTTGAGTTGCAGGGCCGTATTACTTCCGGCTAAATGAGACTATAATAAGGGTTCTCGAATGCGTCGTCGAAATTAAAAAATATTTCTATTATGGCATGGAGTTGTCCTAAACGAATATGAAAAAATTACTGACGTTCGACAAAAATATTGGGTTTCAGACAATTTTGTCTTGTGCGAAAGTAAATATTTTTTGATGTACATGATAACTTGACAACTTGTTAATGTCTTGTTCTCCGACTTTTTTTAAACAAAAGGTGTACCTGGTTGAAGTCTATATATTTCACCGTTTTCAAAATATTTCACATTGATAGCTAGTGATTTTTGCATCTCTGTGTGTGAAAAGTGAAATGTGTTCAGGTTTTCAATGAATCAAAACTTAACACAAACATATTTTGTTTAAGAACAATATAAACTTCTGACTTCAATGCATTTATTAACTCACTTCATAAATAATTGTGTTTCAGAAGCATTTAAACTTTTCGTGTGCATAAGCAAACCATATTTTGTCATTCGAAAATAAGTTATGGAGAGGCGTTTGCAATTAATTAAATTTAATACCAAAAGTTATGAACTAGCGGTAAAACATATTTTCTCCAAGGTTCACTTTAAAAAATCTCAATTTTTAACATTAGGAATCTAATTCTAATTAGTTAAAAAAGTCACAACTAAGTAATAGGAAATTGGAATTCCTCGATGTAAAAAGCCCAAGACAACATTTTTGGTAATAGTAACACTGGTAAAAAACCGAAAATTTTACATTTACACATCCTGTTCCTCGGGAACTATTCTCTGCCGGATAAGGCAAGTTTACCCGAATTTTTTTCCTAAACAATCAGTAAATTTTGCCACATTAGTTGAGGATCATCTTGAATATTATTCGGTATTTTAAAATTTAGCTGTTAGTAATAAATACCTAGTAGAGTATTAGTAATAATCAAAAGATTAACGCTTTTGCGCCCGTTGCCTGAAACTGGTGAGTTTTTCATGTTTTTGACAAAGGTCGAATCTGAGTCTAAAGGCCCGACAAAATTGCCAGTTCTATTAAAGTGTGTAACAAAAAGTCGCCATAGTTCATTCCACATCTATATAAATACAGTCAAACTCAGATTGGTGCGATAGTCAAACGCCATTTATTTTAGATAACATTTTTTTGCTTGGAACCATTAAAAAATTTTCTTTATGACATTATTTAAGATCATTTATATAATCGTAATTGAAAAGCGCATTCACTTCATTGCCAATCTGCACACCTCCCACTCGATTGTGTATCCTGTTGTAGTCTTCATTGTAGTTTCGCGGACCATTTAACATATGAAAGGGAGGTTCGTCAGTTCCTCTCAAAATTAAAGTTGTTTCTCCAATATACCCAACATTTCCTTCTGGGCCATGCTGGAAATACCAACAATAAACTATGCTTGATTAATTTGGAGTTGGTTATAAAATTACTGAATCTGAAATGGTTAAGGTCCATATGCCGCTTGCAAGCTCTCCCCAAGTCATCACCGACATGAAAGTCCAGTTATTGAAGCCTTTGGCGCTTTTGTCGAATTTTCGCGAAGCTAGAAGTTGCACAGACGATCCTAGAGCAAAAATCTTTGGGTTGATTGAGGATAGAAACTGATGCGGCTGTTACAAACCAGCGGGTGATACCAAATGCACCTCCAAAGCCCCTCTAAGCGTATAGTTGATGGTGGTTTTGATCTCAACATGTTCGAGGAATATGACTTGGTCCTTTGTACCTCTACAACCTGTCGTCCCTACTACAAGCTCTACCGGCTTTCTGTAAGATATTGACTTGTTCCCCCTTGAAAATGCCGATTTTTCATTAAATTTACAAGATTTTGATGTTATAAGTATTTATTATTCACCCATTGAATCTAACTTCGCACTTGCGGTATTGTGGAACGGTTGTCCAGTTTGCTGCAGCGGAGACAAGTCCAAACGCATTCATAAGCCCAAATCCGAACTTGGTACTGAACCATAATCCAGCGGCATTTTTTTGCCAGCCTGGATTATCGGCAACTGGGGCCAATTCTGAAGTCCACACTATGAGATGTTGTACATCTCTCCACGTCAATGATGGACTAAACGGGGCAAAGGAAAATTGATTAGGGCTTACATTTCACTTTGTAGCTTTCAAAAAAAAATCAGCTCGGCTTGTTTTTTTTATTTCTTTTATTGGTGGCATTTAATTCATGTAAGGTTTTCTATTCGGTGATGGTAGATTCATCTGCAATATCACTCTCAGTACTACAAAGTTCAATACTCCAGACTTGCTTGGTTTATATGATTATTTTGATCATATCTATATATGATAATCGTGATAAATTGGAAAAATACTCGCATGCTCTACTGTGTACCAGTTTTACAGCCTTCTGGAATGACTAGTAACAAGTACCTAAGTGAAAAATTAAGTCCTGTTCAATGCTTTGGTTCTTAATCTTATGCTTTTGTACGTATAGTGAATCGTTGGTACGTTACCTAAATGTTTAAAACGGTCCAACTTTCTTATGATATTTAATGGCTACGAGGACAATTTAATACAATTCAATACCAAATTTTTTTTAGAAGAGTCTCGCAAGACTTCTCTAGAATACGGTTTCACAGTCCTGCTCATTACTAGACATTAGGCCCTGGAATCAATTTAACTCGAACATGAAAAAGAAGGAAGATTTTATATAATAAAAAGGCACTTAGCAGCTCGCTCACTTCTGTTTTTAAATTTTTGAAGTGATAACTTTTTATGGGAGGGTGAACCGATTTTTCTCGGTCACGGCACTCCGGCCTCTTAGCGCCATCTATGTTCGCGCCTGAGGCTTGGGACGCACATATGAACTTTTTTGTTAGTGCGGGTGCATCTGTAGATCTGATAAACTTTTCAAATACACATTGCGTTATTAACCTGACAGTGATTTTGATTTCTCAATTATTGAGTGTGATATTATTGCGTTTGGTGCAGTTTATTTTATAACGCTGATAACAATTAATCAACAAATTATCAAGCTGCAGATGCTGCAAATACTGGTAAAGGGTGCTCATATACTAAATGCCTGATCGCATTCTTTTAAATTTCCAATTAAAGTACACACACAATTATACACACTAAAGCAGTTTAAGTGCAAAAAATGCGGATTGTCTATCAATTTGCAGAAAAATGTATTACAAACTTTTGAAAATCATCTTCAAACGACCGGGTATTTATCATTGCAAACGAGATTGCACATTGCCCTGTACTGTTAAATATTGTTTTAAGAACTAACAAAATTGTTGTGCAACAAAATTGTCCCTAAGATCCACTACAATAAAGTTTTGAAAAACTGTTGGACGTATTTTAAATCGCCTGATTGATTGTGGACGCAAATTCGTATCAAGAAAAGATTAAAGTAAATTAAATCGTATCGATAGAATCCCGGTACCGATTCCCGATGTCTTACTCTCCTTACTGTCTGTAGTCCAGATGATGTCCATTTGCATTGTATTGCACGTTTCGGTAAAATATTATTACCTACTTGTTTAGTGATTTTCATCGGAGACAATTGTTAAACCAGATGTTGAGCGGATATTTTCTAAAGAAGGCAGGGTGAATTTATGAAAAACGCTCAAGATTAAGTGCAAATAGAGTGTCACAACTATTATTAATAACTTTTAATGCAATAATATCTTCTATTATTTGTTTTTTATTTTGTAACAACAAATTATCAATATTTAGATATCTATTTTGTAATCTTTCCTATTTAACATAAAATGATAAACATCATTACTGTTTTGTAATAATATATAATAAATATGTTTTGAATTTAATTGAACAAATATTTCAGTTTACCTCGGTTATTTCAGAAAACATGGGTTAGGTCTTCTTATTTTCTATCACGCAACGCATTCTTGATGTTAAGACAATACGAATCTCTCTTCAGCTTATAGTTAGAAAATATGTCAAACGAATTTATTAGGGCATATTTTCAATTCTCTATATTATTTCTATGATTAATTGTGTTTACCACGCATCAAAATGGATTTTTTCCCTTCATATACCCTTTCAGTCCTTTATGATTAAATCTTCTCAATTTAGTTTAATTTTTTAGCTTTGGATTAGTTCAGTTAGCGCGATGGCTTACCATTATGTATACATATAGTATGTCAACTGTATCCTGTCTCTATAGCTCTTCCTCGTTTTACCGTCTATTTTAAACAGATAGAACGTCTTCAAATCACCAAAATTAATTGATTTTTTAGTCCTATTCAGATACAAGTTGTAGCAGACGTGCATGAGCAACATACACAAGATCAGTCACAAAAACATGCTACAATGCGAAAAGTATTAAGTAATGCTGAACGCCAAAAACGATTTTGTGCTAAAAAATTAGCATTAAGTAATAGATCCCCTCAAAGTAGCTTTCATCAACCACGAACTAGTGCTGAACGTCAAAGATTATACAAAGCAAATAATAAATTACGACTAAAAAATACAGAAACTCAAGAGTTTACACAAACCCAAGAAGAGCAATATGTACAACATCTCGTTAAAGAATGTTAAATGTTGCAAATAAAAAAGCTGTTTTTAAAGGAAATTAAATTAAACTTTACCTATTCCTGATCCATTTATAAATTATTAGACTAACAAGAATATTAAAATTATAAAATAAAATTATTATTGCCATCATGCGTTAAACAAGTTCAATATTTTATGGTTTCTATAAATATATGAAGTTATCACTTCTGTCGAGCGTCGCGTGGCGCACACTATTTTTTTTTGCTAAGAGTTGGCCTATCTACATACAGGATCCTTCAAATGAATACGAGCTTCATACAAGCATTTTCAGTTAAGGCCACCAGTATACCAAATGTTCAAATTGTTCGAAATATAATAGAAATCCGACATGGTTCCACTATTATCACATAATTTTGTGAAACTAGAACTTTTTCGTCCGTTATAGTACCGAACAAATAAAATTTATTTTAGTCATCATTTTTATCTATAATTTTATATCACATATAATATTGTTTTCTAGATATTTACAGTTTTTTAAATTTTCGAAACTATACTGCGATATCAAACAAGTGAGTTAAGGTGAGATATGTGCGCATTTGGGGAAAATCCAACCCTCCGCACACAGACCATTTCTGTTAAAGGCCCCGCATAGACTTCAGAAGACCGAAGTATTTTTCCACGGTTCAATGAACAATTAAAACCGCGCAATTTTGGAATTGCACTATAAAAAATCCATACACCACTATTTGTGCCACTGAATTTTTTTCCAAAAACACACACTGACTAGAAAAACTTTGGATTAGGAGGAGGCGCTGAAAACCCAAATCAAATTTGAAATTTGGGTGTGTAACTTATTTTCTTGAGTGGTTTATTATTTTAGTTGAGCAGTTTAGTTCTTGTTCGTTAAAAATAAGAACTACAAAGTTAGTCTAGTCTTATTAATGCCAGATACTTTCAAGTTTCGTCTTCATGAGAAAAACGAACTAATGAAGTTTTCCAATAATAAAAAGTTAAATTTGATTAAAAAGGTTATTTTTCTAATTTTTTTTAATACTTTCTCCTGTATTTCTAAACTCCCTATCCAGAAATTATTTTTTCAAACTTGCTAATGAAAGGTAATTTCGGAATTTTTAATCACTTGTTCTGGAAACAGCGGGTACAAAATTTGTCTTCAGAGTCCTTCAACAACGTAATTTTTCAGTTGCAAATATACAGGGTGTCCCAAAATTAGGTCGCCAAACTGAAACAGTGATAATGCGCTCAAAAATAATATTAATTTTTCAAATGAACATGTATTGAAAACTGCTCTCTAACGGAGCCACGCCTTCTTGAAGAGGGGCCCAGTAGTAAGGTTTTTTGCAAATTATTTCTAAACGGTTGAACTTCAAAACGTAAATTTTAGGAACTTTAATAATTTTAATATGCTGAATCTAGATCTGAAACTAAAACTGTCAGAATTTCATCATAGGCGTATCATTTGGGGGGTAGAAGTACAAAAAATTTCGGGACACCCTGTGTACTGTCGGAATGCTCGATATGGAGTCGTTGGTAAAACTAAATAATACTACGTGCTACGTTATTTTGCAGCGAATATTACTATGCATTTTGTTTTTATTTCTGTCTTTATGCGTTTGATTTTTTCAGCAATTCGTTTTTTATGTAGCTTTTTCGTTCAATATTTTGTCCTAAAACACTTGCATTTTTATGCCACTTTACTACATAGGTGTATGTCTAACGTTTTTCTCCATTGGGTCATGGACCCTTCATGAAAGTTGACTTTGTTCCTCTTAAACGTTTCAAAACCTTCTTAATGGTACCAGTAGGTATTTTTTCTTGTCTATTTTTCGGCCAATTGGTTCCAGTTCTTCGAACCAAATTTAGCTGGACGCAAAACTAAGTAAGTTTTTCAATTATAAAAAATTGCTAGCTCAACGAATCCCATAAAAATCTGGGGTTCGCACTAAACAAACACTTTCTTCTTTTGATCAGTATCCTATTTTAACTAGAAAATGTTTCATAATCATAATTTATTTAAATGCTTTTCTCTTGAATAAGCTATTTGAGTCTTACTTGACTTCTAACGCCAAGGCAATAATTCCTGCAGCCAGAGGTGCCGACGCTGAGGTACCCGTATGTTTAATAGTGCATTGATTGTTCAGGTCAGTGGTCGCCTAAAATTGAAAATACCCAAAGTAAACGAACAAATGAAAAATTAATGAATTCATACAATCATTTGATCCTTATATGCTCCGCTGCTGTAGGTTACAGCCAGCGTTGAAGCGCAAACTTCTCCATACCAAGGGAATTCTCCCTTTTGTGAGGCACTTCCTATTGAGATTGTGTAGGGACTGGCCAGATACCCATCGCAGTTGCAATTGTCGCCCCGGCTTCCACCGTTTCCAGACGCCCATACGTAAATTGACCCTTTCCCAGCTCTTCCCTGGATGGGGGAACTTCAATTGAACAGATACGAACATTTCGCTGGCTTTTCTAAGTACCTGCGTAATTCCTCTTTCAATAGCCTCTTTTGCTAGTCTGCCGGGCCCATCTACTGTTTGACCATCATCATTCGGTCCCCATGAGGCGCTGTAGATATCCACCAGATGTTGCGCATATCCAAGAGCTGTCCCTTCAATTCTATCTGTTACAAGTCCATCTAGCATCTTCACACCGCCTGAAATTGCAAATTTTGCTTTATATTGGTGCCTCGAACTAAAAAACATCCATGGTTTTCATCAGGAGTCAGGATCTTTAGTGGCCTTTTCGGGTGTACGTGACTAAGATTGTAATTTTACGTTTTTTTTTCTTTAAATTTTAACTGCCGGTTATTTACCTTACCTATTCTTGCGTTAAAAGCAATTCCCACACCGCATTTCTTGTTGTCGGCCACCATCGCCACTTCACCTGCGCATCTTGTGCCGTGACTATTCGATTTGGTGATTTCGTATCGAGGCAGTGGGTCTTTTGATTCTTCGTTGCAATTGTAACTGATTTCTGCATCCTAAATACCAACAAAAGTTTGATTTGCCAGCAAAAATCGCATTTAGAAACACTCACGTAGTTTTGATTTAAGTCTTCATGCGTGTATTCAATGCCGTCATCTAAAATGGTAATTCGCACGCCTTTTCCCGAAATCCCAGCTTTGTATACAGGAACCACGTTCAAGTCCAATTTTGGAAGATCCAGTCTCGTTCTTGTATCTCTCTAAAGTATTGGAACCGTTCAAAATGCTTTGGACTACTTTTTATATCTGGCATATCTGGACACATTCAGAAGTTTTTTGCACTTTTTTGACTTTTTTCCGTTTTATTGTCTATTTTCGTATTGTCTGTGTTGTATGCAATAAGTTTAGCAAATTTATAGGGAAAATGACTCGGTTTTTAGGAGGCCTAAGCAAAGATTCTGGCTCATCTTCACATCGCTTCCAAGACAAAGCAACCGAACTCAAGTACTGAAATTCATGTTGGTTTTACGGAAATTGCACCAACTTATTGCGAACAATATCCAAGTGTAAAGTCGCTGACGGTCAAGAAGATGACCCGCTTTATTGGCCAATAAATCGGAAAAAAGCGCGTAGTGTAGGCCTGGGCAACTCAGTGAATTTTTAGGAGTTGGCACAGTGCTGCGCAAATGGTTTCGTGCGCCAACTCAACGCACCGGCGCAGTAATTCAGTTCCGTTGGTGGGAAAATGTTGATGACTTTTTTTAAACTGCTTTTAGATTTATTTTAAAGGTCATTTATTAATAATATTTTTAAAATGTCTTCAAATTTCAGAATTTTCCAGTTTTAGCCAAGTTGTTCTCTCTTCTTAATGCTCAATTTTCTAAAGTTTCACTTAAAAATTCTTCTTGAGGTATTTTCCGTGAAAAATTATAAATAATATAAATAAATTTCGAATCCTTCGACGCTTTGTAAAAAGTTTTGAAATCCCTTTCCAGCTTCGAATTTGAAACAAAAATCAAACAATTTTCTATCCAAAAACGAACAAAATAAGCGAAAGTTATTATTATTATTACACATTATTTGGAAATCTCGTCACCTCCATTCCTCTGAACACTGTAGAATTTGTTAAAAGTGTGGTTTTTTAGTTTTAAGTGCATTTTTTTGGTTTACTTTCTACTCAAAAACGCTCTATTTTGTAGTTTCGCTTAACAAACTGACGATCTGGAGGACTTTTACATGAAAAATTACATGATAAATATATAGCTTTGTAAAAAACGTACAAAAACATTTTTCAGTGACGAATTAGGGATAAAAACGAAAATAAATTTATATCGTTTTTTTTTGCGAAAACCATCAAGGCTTCCTTCCAAAACCGATCACAAAACCAAAATATTTTAATCCAAAACGCAAAAAAGCATTATTTTCTGATGATTTTCTTCATTTTTGACAATAACGGGGTGTTTTCAGCTAAAAATTACAAAATAAATTTTTCCAAAAAATACGCCTCATTCATCGTATTGCAGGGAACTTGAGAAAACCCATTTCAGCTTCGAATTTGGCACAAAAACCAAATGATTTTATTCAGTTTTTTACTGAAAGTAATTAGGACTATCTTGAAAAAACGACCAGTGAGCAAAAGTTTACAAAAAATATTGGGAATATTCGCCGCCCTCACGTCTCTGAGGATTTTCAGGTCATTCCAGTTTTTGCAAAGTTTCTATTAGAAAGTTCTTCCTACGCAAAAATCGAATTATTTTTTAGTTTTACTTAAAATACTGGAAATCTTCAGGTATTTTCTATGCAAAATTATAAGATACATTTTATTGGAACACTGGCATCCTTAACCGCTTTGCAAAAACGTTGGGAAAACTTTTTGCAGCTTTGAGTTATGGAAAAAACCCTAATAATTAATTCCGGGTATTTTTCGAAAAATATTTCCCCGAAGTGAAAAAGCGAAAGTTTATAATCATTTATTTGCAAACCCTTGGAAACTGAAGTTTCTTCACTTCAAGGTCGACATTTCTAAGCCGCGTTTTTCCTAACGGTTTGCTGTAAAATATTGGTAAGCTGAAATTTTTATGCAAAAAAATTGAGAAATCGATTTTACAAGAAAACTCGTCGACTGAGGTGAGTGGAAATAAGCTGAAACTGAACATCCAATACTTTCTAAGAGCACTTACCAAGTACCATTGATGACTCCACAATTCATCGTTAAACGTTTGATCGACTTCTGTCGACAGAGCGTAACGTTTTCTTCGATTTTTCCTCTGTGTTTGGTTATTTTTGGGTGCTTTTTCAATGGGATAGGTGAAATTCAGTTGATTAGTTTGACTGACTTCCACACGCTTAACTCGCTCTTTTGGGATGTCTGATGGATCGATTGTTATAAAGTCTCTTTTTTGGCGTTCTTTCCAGTTTTGTTCATCTGCCCATAGTACCTTAAACACGTTCTTTAATGTTATATTAATACATTTTTTGTACTGGAAATGTGGCTGGGTTATTTAAATTAAAAACGCTTTTTGACATAAAACCAAGATAGCTTTTGATGCAAAAACGAATTATTATACAATGTTGCGGCAGTGAGGGTCAAAATCTTTTCAGTAAATCTGAAAGAAAATACATCGAAAAATAAACATTTCTAAAAATGATCAACATCGCTAAAAGATAAATATTAAACTCAATCTGCAACTCTAATATACAGAGTGGTTTGGGATGTCGATGTATTCCTTGCTGAAAGTGGTAGTACAAGTAGAATGCAGTGTTATTTGTAAGTTAATTTACTGCATAGAGAAACAATTGAACAATCAACGATTCAAAAAATGAAAAAATAGGAAATTTACGTTAACGGTAATGCAGAAGAATTTTTTGAAATGATGGCTTCTATTCGAATTTCCTTCCTATTAGCGTTTTTATTTCATTTCTTATCACTTTTCTTCTGTTATTTCCACATTTTTTTAGAATCTTCGGTGTTCCGCTCTGGCAGTTCACTAAATAAGTTTGTTCAGTTTCTAGGATTCCCGTCGGACTTTTTCTCTTGCAAACTCATCCAACGTCTAGAATTTTTATGGTACATATTATTCAATCAGCTAGAAGCGCCGATGAAAAGTTGGTTTCAGTTATATAAATAAATTTTCATGGCTTTTAATAAAATTTTCGTAATAAAAAAAATTAATAAACTTTTGTCATTTTGAAGTAATTCGTCGCCTCCTAAATTTGCAGAGTACTTTTGAATTACTCTGTATATTTCTGCAAATAATATATACTATAAATGTGTTGAATTAAATATTTTTTTCTGACTTAATAATATTTACTCTTTGGTCATCGGATAAGCTTCTTGAGACTTGGCTTCGTTTCCTCTCGTTTAGTAGAAAAGGCGAGCTTTCGCTTGATGTTAAAACATACGTGTCTTCAAAGCCAATCACCTAAAAATAAAAGATTTTTAGTGCTTTCAAATGTCTATTTTTTTATTAAATTTTTATTCGTATTCATCAAATTTCCGGCGTCTTAAGCTTTTAAAAATGTTGAAAGCTGTTGTTCCCAGCTCGTGTTGGATGCTGATGGTGGATGAGACTGAATTGGGATTTTTGTGTGAAATATACAAGGTGTTCGCAAAACTGTTGAAAATTATTTAATAATTCTGGATATCATTATTTAAATGCAATACACATTTAAGCAAAGGGTTCTTAATGGAGCTAATCAGTGTTTCCGGATCAAGAAACGCGAAAGCGGTAGAATAGACTTGGAAAAAGCTGCAGATTTTAAGATGAAACGGTAGATAATTTTATATAGGAAAGTAAGTATCTAAATAACT